AATCTTTGTTTTCTTGATGATGAGATACAATCCTTATTGTACATTGCATTTCTTGACCTTCTGCAGCAAATACCTCATGCTCTCCTTGGTTGTGTCATTTACATGTTTGTGTCATTGCATAGCCTAGTTTATTGATGAGTCTTCCTTCCTGATACCACATTTCTCCTCATAAAGTCCAACCTCCCAAATGATCTGTTGATAAAAAAGTACTTCAAAGAGGTCTTTAGAGGAGACTTTCCTAATGCAACATGCTGTTTACTCTCCTTTAAAAACCTACTGAAGGGTCAGCTATGGGTCACCTCCAACTCAATGATAAAGAACAACAGTATTCATCATGATAGCGCAAAAGGGTAACATTCAAATATCAGTCAGTTAGATAGTGCATAATGGAGTTTTGGTGGCTTACGGGTAAGGAGTTGTACTGTCAACCCAAAGGAACGTGGTTCAAATCCACCAACTACTCCATAGGAGAAGGATATGCCATGTTCTGCGCAATTTAATGGCTCTGAACATTCTCTGGAGGATCGACTATGAGTTGGTTCTGACCTGATAATATATAAGAACAATCACACTTAATGCATACAGAACGTGTTTTGTATACAATAGAATATGGTAGTGTGTGAAATAATGAGGAAGATTTAATAGGGACTCCAAGACACAGGGTGATAGTAAACATAGGTCAATAGTAATTCATTGTATGAAATACAGTATATATGAGTGGTTGTATGAAACAATGAAAATAAAAGATTGTGTAAAACAGTGTACATAGATGAAACAGTATAAAATAAGAGGAAAGAAAGAATGAAAAAGATGTGGTGCATTGGGAAAATCTGCTTTCAAGGACTTCTCCAAAGAGCAAAGATGTCCAATTAAGGAATAAGATTTGCCTGAACCAAGCTAATTTCAACCCAGTTTTCTTCTGTAAATCTGAAAGTTGGATAATGAAAAGGATGACAGGAAAAATCAATGCCTTTGAATCATGATGTTGAAGGAACGTATTGAATATCCAACCAAGCGGCCCAAAGAACAAAGGAGTCTGTCTTGGAGGAAGTGGAACCAGGCTGCTCCTTAGAAGCAAGGATGGGGAAACTTCAACTACATATTTTGCACATGTTATTAGAAGAGATCAGTCCTTGGGAAAAGATCTTGTGCTGGGGAAGGGGGAGAGTCAGAGGAAAAACAAGAAGTGCTGCAGCAGGATCAATTGGGACACTTTTATGACAATGGGCTCAGGGGTACCAGCGATGGTGAGGATGCCACAAGACAAGCGAGATTCAGATGTTTTGTTCTTAGGGTGGCTGTGAGTGACATTTGACTGGATAGCACCTAACAACAGCAGCAACATTCCTCATGAACATAGATACAAAAATTCCCACCAACTCCTAGCCAATCAAAACCGCAACCATATAAAATATCATGAACATTTTTTATTCTTCAACATTAGAAAAATGGTGAAGGATATTCCAACCACTGGAAATCAACCAGCACGATCTACCACTTCCATAAAATGAAGGAAAGGAGCCACAAGATCATTTCATTGGAAGAAGAAAATAATTTTACCATAATGCAACACCTGTTTCTGAGAAAAACATTCAACAAAATCAGAATAGAAGGGAAATGTCTAAGTACAATGAAACTTATATTCAAAACCAACATGAGAGAAGAATGGGCAATAGCCTCCAGTGTGAATAACTGCCTCTGAGGGTCACCTATGAGTTGATTCCCACTCTATGGTAAAACAACACATACATACCCAGCTTCTTTCTCAAAGGCATTCATCTTGTGAGAGGATTCACACACTACTATTCCAGATTGTATTGGAAATTTTAGCTAGCGTAATAGGCAAGAAAAAGAAGAGATCCAAATGAGCAAAGAGGAAGTAAAACTAACACTACAAAAAAAGTTTTGGGTTTAATTATGAAGTGCCACACCAACTCCAAGGGAGTCTGCGTGACAAAATCACCCGATTGAGGCGAAAACTTCAAGGAAGTCAGCCTCTC